CAAAGGTCGGCAGGCTAATCTATCCGGCGCCTGAGCCGGGTGCCGGTGGTTTGGGCACGCATTTGACACTGGATCTCGCTGGGAGGGTGCGCTTTGGACCCGATGTGGAATGGGTAGACTCACCCAATGAACTGGCGGTCAACGGTTCACGGTTGCCCCTGGCCATTGAAGCCATCAAGAAGTACCTGCCGGAACTCGACGAAAGTTGTCTCGAGCCAGACTACGCCGGCATTCGACCCAAGCTAGGACAGTTGGGCGCTGTTGCACAAGGCACAGGTTTCCACGACTTCGTCGTAAGAAAGGAAGAGGGATATGAAGGCTGGGTGAACCTGCTCGGCATAGAATCTCCCGGCTTAACAAGTTGCTTGGCCATCGCGGAGCGGGTGGATAAGATTCTGTACGAATAAATTCTTTTGTCATTCATTCTGTGTTTGACCCAGTCTCGACCGAGATCAGAACAGTATGCCCCTAGATGCATATTATACATACAAGATACTCAGTGACGCTGGCAGACATGCATCAAAACACTCCTCCCAAAGTTGTAGTGCTAACCAGACACCGTATGACGCGACATACTTCACAACGAAATCGTTTCTGCTGTCAGCTCTCCTTCGCAGCTTCCATTTCAACTCCTCGAACGCCTATTCCGTGAAAAGAATCGATGGCAAAGGCTGTTATTGCCGCGATCTGCAACAGTACCCGTAACCGTAACGCCTGTGGAAAAGAGGGATGATTACAGTGACCATGCTTATCGCAAAGTTAAGTTCGGGCGGTACTTCCGCCCTTGTATATCGACGTGAAACTCGTAGATACCGTTTTCTGCGCCGACGTACCTAGACTCGTCGTCAGCACACGCCTGATTGATGTGCCAATGGTGGCCTTACAAAATGCGGCCGTCCTCGCTCCACGAGATCCCAGCCGTGTTGTCGGGCTCTGGAGGAGCCTCATGAACACCATGCTCTAGCACGACGCGTCGCCGAGCATTGCGCTCCTCTAGCTCGCGGATCGCAACGGAGTTGAGCAGTGGCAAAATTGAAGACCGATCTCTGTCACGATCTCTGGTGGCGGTGCGCAGGTCTTGAATATTACTTTCGAAAGACAGGCTGTACACAGCTTCCAAATCGGCCCATCCGCTACCGGAAGGCGTCAAGCTACGCAAGTCGTTGGCGGTTCGCTGGGCTGCAGCAGAGGAGTCACCGGGTCGAATGCTCGCAGATCGCCTCGGAGGATGGACATTCATCATACCCAGCGTGCGCTCTCGGTCAGGGCTCGACTGTAAAATAAGCCGATGGGCATTGCGTATCCGCTCTTGGGCCCGTTCTCGCGAGTCTCGGATATTACCTAAGAGATCACCGATGGCGCGAGATACACTGCCAGGCTGGAAGTCGCTGCGCTCCCCTGTTGTACGGGTCGCATCACCTTGCTCTATCATGCTGCGAGACACACTACTGCTTCGCGCGCGCGTCGTAGCTACTATGATGTTAGAGTCGTGGTCAATCAAGCGGGGAGTAGCGGCGCCCCGATAAGAGGGTCAGCTGTTGAAGGGTTGACAGACTTGCCGCCTGCTCCGCCATACGGGCTGCTATCCGGTCTCTCTGCTCTCTTCTCCGACGTTCGTCTTGCAGAGCTTCAAGCACCCGCGTCTCATCGGGTGTCAAGGCCAAATGATGCCTCTCCGGACCTTCGGATCCTCGTCGTCGGCGACTTTCTCCAATACCGAGCGGGGTGGCAAAGGGGGACGGCGAAGCGGTTTCCCGCTCGCCACGACCTTCCAAAATACGAGGATCAATAGTCGCGCGGTCAAGCACGGTAACGTGCTCGTAGTCGCCCTCCGCACTGATATCCAGTACTTGACGCTGTACAAACCCAGATCTCAAGTCAGCTACGCCTACATGACCGCGATCTTCTGTCCACGCCAAGAGATCGTAAGGACCGGGGCAGAAAGCCATGTCACGGACAGCTCCAGAGCCTGCCATTGGTCTCGATGAGGTGAAAGATGTCAGCAGAGGATCGGTAACATCTGGATCTGTCAGCCCGGCAACATCATATATAGAGATGGTGCCGTATTGAGTGCCCACTGCCAGATATGCCCCCGTGTTCGAAAAACATGCAGCGAAGCTACCCCTGCTGTCGGAGCCATCATCTCTTCGTTGACTCTTCAGCAAGATCTTGCCGCACAGTTCCCAACGATGCTCGGCCTTGTCGTCCGCCCTGAAAGGACCATTTTCGTCGATGGTCGTCTCAACACGATGGTGAATATACAAGAACGGATCGTCCAGGATGGCGACGAGAAGCCGACCGTCGGGAGATATTATGGCACGATTGACGTAGTCCGGGTAGGTCACTACATCCAGTGGCTCAACTTTGTCCTGACCCTCGAAGTCGCGCAAGCTAACCAAAACCACAGTCTTGTCGTTATTTGCCAAGACAGCAGCGGGCTCGGTGTAGGCGCCATGATGCATAGGACCAGCGATAGGCGGGAACCACATAGTTATGCAATTGACGCGGTCACGCGCCAGCTTTTGACTCTTGGCTGTGTAGCTTTTATTCAGTCGACTGCTCATGTTCAACCGTCGTGACTGCGCAACGAGAGAAAAGACGGTATCTTCGGGGCGCGGTGAATCTGAGTCGAATCCGAGGGGTAGTCGAGCGTCGGGTTCCAGGTTCAGCTGGAGGTCAAGGTCGTTGCCGTCATCGGCGGTGCTTTCGAGCTGAATCGCCGTAAACTCGCCAGTCTCTCCCCCACAGCAAATCCATCCGCTCTCGGCAACTAGGCATCGTGGCGAAAACGAAAGGAACTTGACAGTTTCGCATTCCTTGGTGGTGGTGTTGAGACGCTGGACATGGTTGCTTCCAGAGCCTCCGGGGAAATATATTATGTTTTGTTTCTCGGCGCTGATAAGAGATCGTAGTTGCCAATGTCTGAAGATGAGAAGATCTGTCAGTATTGCCCGCATGTGACAGGGCGCATTGGAAAAGGTCGAGTATGACTACTGGGAGGACGCACTGGGATCGGACTGGAATGCGATAGTGCTTTCGCGGCTTCTTGGAGATCAGGTTGCTGGTCGGATAATATCTGCATTGGTGAGGAGTGAGTATGACGATGTGCATTGAAGAAGGGTGGATGATGTCGTACGAGACGCCATCTTTCACAGCCATGATGGCCTATGGCTATGGGTCGGCCGGAGGAAGGGTCAGTAGGCGTGCATGTAGATGCGGAGGCACGCGGTATGGGACGGCGAGGGTGGTGTGTCGAAGAGGAGTTCGATTCTACGGGAGCACAAGGAGAAGGCGAAGATGTGGAGGGCAGTAGGCAAAGCTACCTAGCTAAGCGGACATAGAATGGTTGCAGGGTCGGATGTTTGGAGATGATGTGTGAGACGCAGATTGCGCGAGCGAGAGGCAACTTTCCGCATGACGTCCAGGTCCGTGTATGGCAGGAGGGGCCTGGCCTCGGTGACCTGTCTGATTTGATTACAGCTGGTTGGCTGGCGGTGTTGCGCTCTCGCTTTCGACAAGAGCTGCCGTGTGCACTCGGTGTCCCGGGCGTGGTGCCTTGCTGAAGGGTGGGTACGCCGGCCCCACGGGCGGGGAGTACACTACCTATCACTGGCCTCAGGTCCTGAACCACCTTACCTAAGGCAGGTAGGTGCCGACGGAACTGAGTGTGATTGGGGGCTTGGGCTGCCACCCGCTGCAACCAAACATATAGCCTGCTCAGGCATGGATCAAAAGCGCGCCTGGGAGGGACTGGGGAGGCTTAGTCAAGGGCCTCATCCTGACGTGCGAAGTTGGAACTCCCATCTGATCAACTCCATCATCGATCTGAGTTCCGCAACAGACAGGCACAGTAACAGCGTGCGCTATACTTCTTTAAAAAACTGGGTAACAAAACCAAAGCTATACTTCTTTGCACCTCTGCCATCGACATTTCTGATGGCACCATGTTGCCGGTAGATACATAATACCGACTTGAAGTAAAAGCTATTGTACTGCACAAGCGCAGCATGCGCCTCTACAGCTTCTCAGTTCTCCGTCCAATGTTATGATTCCAAACCCTGTCGCCGATGGATCGTGGCCGAAGGCCCCTGTCAATGGTCATCGATACCTGGCTCCATCATCAAATCCGAATGAAGACCCTTCGCAGTCAAGGTCTCAGCAACCACCTGGCTGCCAGTACGTATGTAAATTCAAAGGGAACTCGCGGACAATAAGCATGACGAGATAGACCCAATAATGAGCCGGAGGTGCTGGAAACGAATTGTCTGCGGCGCTCACGTGAAGATTGGAAGCACTACAAGAACCCAATTGCATCGTCGCATATCTGTTCCACGTCAACAGGAGCGCCACCCGTTGGCCTCAGGAGCATTGAAAATTTCTAGTTCAGCTGGCCTGGCTCCGTACCCGGCGTTTAGTGGGAAAGCCCATGGCCTGCAATTGCCGGCTCTTCCCGTCTCTGGGAGGCTCCAGCATGTTCCTGCCATTCGTTCGTCACGTGTAGTACCTCTATCAACCTAGGTACTCAGCCCCTCGTTGCTCAGTGTACGTAACAGGTGAGGCGACACCACTGCCACGGTTTTTATTATACACATTTTTTTTCTCTTCTTCTATTATAACTAGAAGTAGAATGTGAGTATCGACCTTGCACTAGGTACTGCGGCACCTACCCAAGGTGCCCTAGTACATTACCTTAATGTTCGAGTGTAAGGTAAGGTACCTTAAGGTACGGAGCAGGGAACTTTACGGCCGGATTAACCCAAGCCGATCTGCCGGCCGTGCGGGATTCGGTCGGCTTCTACGACCGGGGGCAGGCATCATTTTCGGGACAAAAAATTTCGACCCTCCCGCCATCATCATTTCTCGCACCTCACTACTCCTCCCCATCCCTCCACCAACCCACCCATCATTTTGTACTCTATAATTACCGCTCGTCCATTCCTTTTGGCGCGCAGTTCATTTGTCTCTCTTCACCTCCCTTTATACCCACACAGCTAGGCAAGATGATGTCTTCACGCTTCTCCAGAGCTGTAAGTCCTCTCTCCCCGCGCATTGCTGCAGCGCCCAAATCAGAGTTTGCATTTCTAACCCACGACAGCTTCCCAGAGCGACCGGCTCAGTAGCCCGCTCGGCAGGCTTTGCTCGCCAGCCCTTTGCCTCCAAGTTTGCTCGCTATGAGTCTACCGCTTCTGAGGGCAAGGTCCAGGGCTCCGTCATCGGTATCGATCTCGGTACCACCAACTCTGCCGTCGCCATTATGGAGGGCAAGGTCCCCAAGATCATCGAGAACTCTGAGGGTAAGCCATTGTCCCAACTAAGCCAGCTGGAATATCACGGCAAAGCGCTGACTTGATAATCGCAGGTGCCCGCACAACGCCATCCGTCGTTGCCTTCGCCCAGGACGGCGAGCGTCTCGTCGGTGTCGCCGCCAAGCGCCAGGCCGTCGTCAACCCCGAAAACACCCTCTTCGCCACCAAGCGTCTTATCGGTCGCAAGTTCACCGATGCTGAGGTCCAGAGAGATATCAAGGAGGTCCCTTACAAGATCGTCCAGCACACCAACGGTGACGCCTGGGTTCAGGCCCGCGACCAGAAGTACTCTCCATCTCAGATTGGTGGCTTCGTTCTCAACAAGATGAAGGAGACCGCTGAGGCCTACCTGTCGAAGCCCGTCAAGAACGCCGTTGTCACCGTCCCTGCCTATTTCAACGACTCTCAGCGTCAGGCTACCAAGGATGCCGGTCAGATTGCTGGTCTGAACGTTCTCCGCGTCGTCAACGAGCCCACTGCTGCCGCTCTGGCCTACGGTTTGGAGAAGGAGGATGATCGCGTCGTCGCTGTCTACGACCTTGGCGGTGGTACCTTCGATATCTCGGTTCTTGAGATCCAGAACGGTGTCTTCGAGGTCAAGTCCACCAACGGTGACACCCACTTGGGCGGTGAGGACTTTGACATCCACCTTGTCCGCCACCTTGTTCAGCAGTTCAAGAAGGACTCCAACATTGACCTGTCCGGCGACCGCATGGCCATCCAGAGAATCCGTGAGGCTGCTGAGAAGGCCAAGATCGAGCTGTCTTCGTCTCTCTCCACCGATATCAACCTGCCCTTCATTACTGCCGATGCCTCCGGCCCTAAGCACATCAACCAGAAGCTCACCCGTGCCCAGCTCGAGAAGATGGTTGACCCCCTCATTACCCGTACCATTGACCCCGTTCGCAAGGCTTTGAAGGACGCCAACCTCCAGGCCAAGGACATTCAGGAGGTTATCCTCGTCGGTGGTATGACCCGTATGCCCAAGGTCTCCGAGTCCGTCAAGAGCATTTTCGGTCGCGACCCCGCCAAGTCTGTCAACCCTGACGAGGCTGTCGCCATTGGTGCTGCTATCCAGGGTGCCGTTCTGTCTGGTGAGGTCAAGGACCTTCTTTTGCTCGACGTCACTCCTCTCTCCCTCGGTATCGAGACCCTTGGTGGTGTCTTCACTCGCCTCATCAACCGTAACACCACCATCCCCACCAAGAAGTCCCAGACTTTCTCCACTGCTGCCGACTTCCAGACTGCTGTCGAGATCAAGGTCTACCAGGGTGAGCGTGAGCTTGTCCGTGACAACAAGCTTCTTGGCAACTTCCAGCTCGTGGGCATCCCTCCTGCCCACCGTGGTGTTCCCCAAATCGAGGTTACCTTTGACATTGACGCCGACTCCATCGTCCACGTCCACGCCAAGGACAAGTCCACTAACAAGGACCAGTCCATCACCATCGCTTCTGGCTCTGGCCTGTCCGACTCTGAGATTCAGCAGATGGTTGAGGATTCTGAGAAGTACGCCGAGGCCGATAAGGAGCGCAAGGGTTCCATCGAGGCTGCCAACCGCGCTGACAGCGTCCTGAACGACACGGAGCGTGCCCTCAACGAGTACGCTGACAAGTTGGACAAGGCAGAGGCCGACGGCATCCGTGAGAAGATTGCCTCTCTCCGCGAGTTCGTCTCCAAGAGCTTGGCTGGTGAGGGCACTGCCACCGCCACCGAGATTAAGGAGAAGACCGACGAGCTCCAGGTTGCCAGCTTGAACCTCTTCGACAAGATGCATAAGGCTCGTGCCGAGTCTGGCGAGCAACCCGCCCAGGACGCCAACGCCTCCGAGAACAAGGACGAGAAGAAGCCTTAAATGACTTCTCCGTTTCCCTCGGCTCTTCCTACCACTTCTTCGGGTATTGAAAACAACCTGATGCGATGTTTGATTACGGCGGCATAGAATTTCTTCCCACTTGTTTGTATTCCATTGTACTCATAGTTCCGGTCGAATTAGACCGTTCACTCTTCCTTGTTGTCCCTTTTACAATGATTGTTAATACCTGCGGTCGGCGGAACCGGCGTTGGAGCATCAAAACATTCACACGAGATACCTTATGGTATTCATGATATGATCGACGGCATGGATGGATCATGGGGATAAGACGGGGTTGCACATGTACAAAACCAAAACGAATCCGGAGTCGTTAGATGTGAGATAATCTACATCCCCTCTCAAAACAAAAAATTCACAAACAAGTTCTCTTGCCACCGTTAAGCTCTGTGACAGGAGCAAGCGACCGAATCTCTGTGTGCGTATATGTTGAATGAGCAGCAATAGAGTGGGAGGGGGCCCTTCTTGAGTCCGGGTGACATTTCTTGCGCGAGGCATCATTGATACATTGTCCCACACCCACTCCAACTTGGCCATCTGCGGCAAGAGAAGTCCTATTGAACCCATGTTCCCATGGCCAACGCTGGGTGTCCATTTTTCTTGAATACAAGTCTCCAAGTGTCACATATCTGTCCAGTTTGAATTCTGGTTATTCTTTTCGAACAAGCAAAGTACCACAACACACATCTGCGATGCAATGCTTCTGAACATCACGTAGAAACGGAGCCAAGGACCGGATTTGGTATTCCCTTCTTTATCTACCGAAACCAAACCACCCCCTCTTCTGTGGCTGTTGAGACTTGCCCTCGCTCGCAACGTCAGGTTGCTTGCTGGACGGCGGTACCGCTTGCTGGGGCTCCTTGCCCGGGTAGTCAATGTAGTTCCAAGCAACGTCAAGGAAAATAGGCTTGACGGGAATCGTCGCCAGTTTGGGCGGAATATTGACGATATTGGCCAGGTCAACTCCGTTAGAGGGATACTCGCGAAGTCGCTCAATCAAGGGGATGGACCTCGTGTCGTCCTCTTTGGAATCGGAATCCTTGAGCAGGTTGGACAGATGCACAAGAGCGCGGTGGCGTTGCAGCTCGCCTTCCAAGAAGGTCAATAGGCCATGTGCGTCTTTCCCCGTAATTTCAATGTGACGGGGAGAGTCGGTAGATGTTTCGCCGAGCGCCGACGCCGCCTTTTGAGCTTCCTCGAATGCGTGCTTGATAAGAGCCAAGGCATTCACTGTGTTACCAATGAGAGCATGAGAGCGAGCGATGGAAAGAGACCTAGAACGATTAGCGTTGAACGAAAGATTGGAGAGCGAGCAGCTCACTTCAAAGCGCGGAAGTATCCAGCAAAAGCCTCGAGCTGTCCTGCGAGGCCTTCGTCGTTGGCTACTCCAGGCAGTTCCTTGGCGGCATCCAAGCTTTGCAGGGTTCCTTCGTAAAGGGCCACCAGTTCTTTCAACTTCGCGGCTTTGCGACTCGGCGTCTCTTCCTTGCGCTTCTTGACCGCTGGATCCTTCTTAGACTTCTTCTGGGAGACACTGTAGTTCTCGACTAGGCCATCATCGCTTCCTGTCAGAACACGGTTTCGGCCAATCCGCCAACTGATCATCTCGTAGTTGACGGCAGTTCTAGTGATCTGCAAGCTCTGCATGCGGGGATCGCTCTGAGATACACCTTCTCCTCGCAAGTCGTCGATGGCTTCTTTTGTTGCATCGGCAGCATCTTGAGTGGCTTCGAGGATACCATCGTAGGCTGCGGCGACCTCCCTGGGTTCGGCGTCTGCGAGAGAAGGCCATCGCTGCGTCAATTGGGCCTTAGCCTCCTCTACCCTGCCCCAAGCGAGGGAGATTGCAGCGTCTTCGATCCTAACCTCCCGCGAGCGCCAGGTGAGCGTTCTGGGGGCATTCTCGGCATCGGTGTTATCCTTGCTGGCCTCACTGTCTACCTGCTTGAGCACATTGGGATCGAGATTATTGATTTGTTGGACGAGAGCCGAGTCGGATTGGGGGAATGCTCGCCTCGCAATGGCAGGTATCGGTATCGTTCGCGGAGTCTTCAACTGATAAGCGGCATAGCGGATCGACGGGTCGATGGTGTCGGAAAGTATGTCTTTGAAGACGTCTCCCTTGGTGGAGGTAGCCATGGCGCTGTATATGGCACGAGCGACGGCATAGCTTTTGAGGGAGGGCTCCCAGTGCTGATTCTCAAACATTGCAGCACCCCGGATCTGTGCAGCATAAGCCCGAGACTCGAGCTTGTCGTTCTCTGTAGCGCCAGCTCCGGACTGGGCCAGCAATTCGACGAGGTTCTCTGCGGCCTTTGCGGCCTTGTCGAGTCGGGATACTATGTGAGAGCGCGTCTTTCCAGTGACACCCTTCGCATCAGAAGTATGGGAGGATTTCATGGCCATAGCATTGGCCCAGGCGCGCTCACTCGTGAGCAGGAGAAGACGTGTGTACCTAGCAGCCGTCAGTGGGCCGGACGAGCAAGTGAGCGGAGGCGGGCGACGCACTCATGGTTGTCGGAAATCTGGTCAGCGGTGATATCTGCCTTCTTGTGGAATTTGCTGCGGTTCTTGGTTGCAATGCCCAGTTTCTTGCGACTGTTCAGTAGCTTTTTGCCTAGCTGAGTCTGGTAGGTTGTATAGTCTCCGTAGAGGAGAGCTGAGTCCCTTCCGGAGACGACAAATCTGGTGATATCCATGGTTTCGAAACTGCCGGCGATCGAAGTGTTCGTCCGTGATAGTCGCCGTCGTTGGGTCTGCGGAAGTCGTGCACCACAGGGCTGACTAGGTAGGCCAGATGCTGTCGTGAAAAGGCCGAAATCGTAACTGGTCTGCGCTGCGCGGGGGCGGAAGATGGTGGGGCGCACACTCAGTTTCCAGTGTCCTTTCCACCCAAAAAAGTCGCACCCTTATGAAAACCTAGGTACTGGATGGATAATTAGGTACAGAGTACACTCGCTACCTGTCCACGCTAGGAGGGCGTTTGGTGAGGTAAGCATGCCCGGATACCTATGGTGGCGTGGAATTTCCAGGTTTTCTCAGGGTCCATTCCAGCAAGCCGGGCCGGAAATGTTCCCCTCCAACGGTTCCATTTCGACATGCCCGGGCGCTCTGAAGGCGCTGGATTGGTCGAAGCTCCTGGGAAGAAAAAAAAGTCCATGACACTGGACGATCAATGGGTTGATGATAAACAACACCTTTTAGCCGCAGACTCGCCCTGTTACTCAGTGTCACAAGGGGAAAGTACTGCCACAAGGCAAATCGAGACACTCTCTGTTTTCAGGCCTCTAAGTCAGATTTTCTTTGACCTCAAAGCCTGTCTTGTGGCACCCTTCCGGAGGTGTCCGAGCCGCCTCAGGCAATTGTTTTCTCGTCGTCGACGTCGTCGATTCCAACCGGGAGCCCATAAAGATACTCCACCCCCAAAACTTTTTCCCGCCGAACGCGACGAGCCCGAGGCCTACGACGACAACTCCACGACCAGCATGTTCTCAAGTTCCAGTCTTTTCTACGCTCGGAAGTCATAGTCGACAGCTATCGCTTCGTTGACACCCTCATTCCCAATGCTGGAGAGAACGGCGGCGACTCTGGAATCGTGCACGACTCTTCATGCGCTTCCTTCCGCCACCCACTCTTTGAGAAGTCGCCGAAAGTTGCACACCGGCTTTTGGCAGCATGGAGCTGCCCCCATAGACATCCACAGCCCTGCGCTGTCTGTGCACTGCAATGAGCCAGACTCATCCGCCTCAGAGCCGTCGTCCTCCTCGCCCTCTTCGACACCAGCGCCGTACGATGGCCTAGTTGCTTCCACCTTCCTGCTCGACTTCCTATACCCCAGTGGAGCCGCTGCCCTGTTGCGCAGACTTGCTCACGGTATTAATGACCGCCAGCCGTCGTCGATACAGAGGCTACCTCGTAGGTCTCGGCTATTCACCTCGTCCGCTGTTGCCACCACCGCCAAAACTCCAGAATCGTCACAATCGGACGCTTCCGATGCTCCTTCGCGATACAGCAAACCGGAAACACCAGTCGATACCAACACGAGAAGTACATTGCGCGCTCGCCTCAACAAAAGCGAACACGATAATTCTCAGGGAGACGTAGAACGGCGAAGAGATGTTGAGGAAGACGTTGCAGACGACAGCAATGCACACGGCTTTCCGGTTATTCGCGAGGTCGATGTCATAAATACAACCAAAACCCATAGCGGCCCCTCTTACGCCGGCTATGGATCGCGACCCGATCTGATGAGGGACTTGATGGCAGTCGAGCAGACGGAATACTTTGGCTCAATATGGCAACTTTATTCCCAGCTTGAACCGCAGTTACAGCCAATATTCTGTCCGGAAGTTATAGTCTACCTATACCGATCCGACAACCTTTTAGACGCTCGCAGAATCATTCTCCTCTTCTCTCAGCTCGAGCGCAGCCAATGGACGCCAGCGGTTCTTTCATCTGTTGTGAACGCCAATTTACGTCTCGGCAACGAGCGTGAAGCTCTTGAGCTTTACCACACAGGCCTCGATGAACAAACGATGGTTGGCGGACTTGATGATCTCCTTCAATACGGCTTCAGGAAGGCGAAATGGGATTTTGTGAGACATGTTTGGACATCATACCATGTTGTTTTCAAAGCCCACGGGATCAAGTGCGGAAAATTGGAACGTCTGGCAGCCGTTCCGAACCTTGGTGACCTCGCAATTCAATTTTCCAAGGAAATCGACACCTGGTTCACCGAGAGCTCAGAGAACACCGAAAAGGTCGACACAATCAACATTCTCAAGAAGAAGGTGGCGCGGCGAGCTCTTCAGCAGCCTTGCAAACCGAATGAGGCTCTTCCATTGCTGAGGATCGTCGATCAAGTAAAGTGGTACACCATCTACCTGTCTGAGGCCGTCCAAAGAGGCCAAACAGAGTGCCTACCAGAAATATACCGCATCTACAGGGCATTCCCTGGCACGAAACCCTACTGGGCCATCCTG